GAAAGGCAGAGTTACAGAGAGGCAGAGGCAGAGACAGAGAGAGAGAGGTCTTCCATCCGTTGGTTCACTCCCCAAATGGCCTCAACAGCCAGAGCTGAGCCAATCTGCAGCCAAGAGCCAGGAGCTTCTTCCAGGTCTCCCACATGGGTGCAGGGGCCCAAGGACCTGGGCCATCCTCCACTGCTTTCCCAGGCCACAGCAGAGAGCAGGATTGGAAGTGCAACAACCGGGACTCAAACCGGCGCCCACATGGGATGCCAGCGCTGCACCACTATGCTACAGCACCATCCCTGCTATTGTTAATAAATAAAGCATTTTTAATGTCTTAATGTTCTTTTAAAAGTTTTATTTTATGTCTTAAAATTTATTTATTTAATTAATTGAGAGGCAGAGAGAGACAGAGTACTCCATCTGCAGGTTCACTCCCCAAATGCCCCCAACTGCTGGGACTGGGCCATGGCAGAGGTCAAGAACCCGGATCTCCATCAGGCCTCCCACGTGGGTGCAGGGACCCAATTACTTGAGCCGGAAGCAAGAGCCAGAGTCAGGGATTGAACTGGGTGCTTTGCTGTGGGACAAAGGCCTTGGAACTGCTAGGTTAAATGCCCACCCCAATTTCTTTTTTTTGGGGGGAGGCTTGATTAATTTCTTTGAAAGGCAGAGTTACGGAGGCAAGGGGAGAGAGAGAGAGAGAGAGAGAGAGAGAGAGAGAGAGAGAGAGGTCTTCCATCTGCTGACTCACTCTCCAAAAAGCTGCAATGGCCAGGGCTGGACCAGGCTGAAGCCAGGAGCCTGGAACTCCATCTGGGTCTCCTACACGGGTGCAGGGCCCGAACACTTGGACCATCCTCCGCCGCTTTCCCAGGCACATTAACAGGGAGCTGGATTGGAAGTGGAGCAGCCGGGGCTTGAACCAGTGCTGCCACATGGGATAACGTTGTCCTAAGCAGTGGCTTAACCCACTGAGCCACAGCGCCAGCGCCTGGCTACCACTTTCCTGTGTCCACAGCCCCACATCTGTGTCCCAGCGACAGTGAGGATCCTGGCGGGGGGAGGGGGTGGGCATGGAGGTCACTGACGGCTGCCTTTACTTTTTGTATATGCTGGAACTTTCCTTATATGTAATAAGACATTTAAAAACTAAACGGCATCCAACGTGTTTTTCTCAGAGATTCGGGAGTGCTGTGGGGCCTTCCTGCCTGAGGCCCAGCCTGCGTCCTCCGTGGCGGAAGCTGAAGCCCACCACCGCGTGAGGGATCTGGAGTGGGGCCCGGCGGGGAGGGGGCTAGGGTTGGAAGAGGCCACGCGGTGCAGCCCCCGGGACGGGAAGAGGGGGAGGCCCTGAGCGTCCTCTCCCCCGCAGGTGAGCGCCCAGGAGCCCTCCCCGCGCTCACCTTGAGCTTGGACGCCAGCCTCCAGAGCCGCGGGAAAATTCATTTGTGTCTTTAAGCCGTGCAGCCGAGCACGGTGTCAGAGCCCTCCCACAAACACCTTACACGCCTCGCTTGGGCGCTGCTGGGTGCTGGTCTCTGACGTCAGCCGTGGCTCGGGCCCTGTCTTCACTCCCTGCCCCAGGGGCTCCTCTGATGCCAGGTGGGCGCTCCCTGGGCTCTGGGAGGACCCTGCTCTGAAGTGTGGGGACAGATGCGAGATGGCCCGGCCCTAGATGGTGGCACTGGAGCCACCTGGAAGTCGCAGGGACAGTGGCAGGCTCAGAACCCCTGGTCTGCCTCAGGGGTTATACCCACTTGGGCCAGGCGGGTCCTGGCCCGTACCCCGGCCCCAGTGGGCACCAAGGCCACGCTCCCTCCCTGCCCTTCCTTCAGGGCACTTTGTGCCTGCCCGGGAGGCCCGCTCTGCCCTCCCGAGACCCTGATCAGGTCGTTCCCCGACATTTTCACACCCTCCAGGTGTGTGTGTGGGGTCATCAGCCTCAACAGCTGGACCAGACCGTGGCAGGAGCCCGCCTCTGCCGGCGACCGTCCCTGATGTGGGATCAGCCTTGGAATGGTTCTGAGGAAGGAGACAGACTCAGTGGCTGGAAAGCTTTGGAGGCGGTTCCTACGTGAGGCTGGAGGGCCCACCTGCCCACCTGCCCTGTCCCCTCGCCATGGCAGCCCATATCGGGTTCACGCCCAGCAGGGGACACCCGCCCAGAGAGCAGGAGGCTCACCGTCCCTTCCTGCCTCCTCTGACAGGACCGGAAGCTGAGTAGCCGGGACTTTGTCACAGGCGCCCCACCTGCGGTCCCCCAGGCATCATGCTGACGTCTCCCGTCTCCCTCGTCTCCCAACAATCAACCCCTGTGTCTGATGATGCCGGCACCCGAACGCCTCCCGCCTGTGCGTCTGCACAGCTGTGGCCAGCTGCGACGGCCTCTTCCCGCCAGCACCAGCCCCACGTGCCCGTGGCCAGATGTGCCCGGAGGGCTCTCCCCCTGTCTCGGGGGGGGGGGGCGTGCTGGGTTGAGGGAGCAAACAGGTAAGGGTGTTGCTCCCTAACGGTCCTGGTTCCAGAACCTACAACTCAACACGCCGGGCGCTGGCTGCCCCGGGGTTCTGGAGCAGATCACTCTGGTGGGGAGGCAGTGACACAGTGAAGCGACCGGAAGCCGGGTCACGGGAAGCCGCAGAGCCCAGCACTGCGGGGGGAGAGCCCCCCAGAGCAGTGAGACGCGCTGCGCGTGCTGCAGGGGCGCGGTGGGCAGGGCAGCCACAGGGAGGAGGAGGGTGGGGAGCTCCGCGGCCCTGAGCCAGGGACTTTCCCAGAGGGCCAGCCTTCCCCATGGTCAGCATCACGGTCACTCCGTGCTGGGGCTGCAGCCCCTCCTCGGCACAGAGGGGCCGCCTCAGGGGCAAAGGATCTGAAACCCAAGAGCTTTTTAAAATCATCTTTACTGTGTGTTTAATAATTTTGCCTCATTTACCAGATAAATCATCTAAATAAATAGATGCTATACAGTCTCTTACCAACATCAGTACAAAAATAGAAGCGCACTGTGCACCCGCTCTGCCGCCCAGCGCGTCACCCGAGAGCTGTGCCGGGCCGCCCCGCCCGTCCGCCCGCCCGCCCGCCCCGGTACATTCATTGAGTCTGAACAAAGCTCCGCCCATTCTGTGCAAAGGAAGCAACTCCTGCGCTGAGACCCGGCGGCCACTCGCGCGTGTAAAGCAAAGGCCAGACCACTGGACAGGAGCCTGGCGCTGTCCCCCGGAGCAAGGGACGAGCAGACGTTGGCAACGGGGATCATCCCAGCGCCAGCCAGGGGCCCCGGTTCCCAGCCCCACGGCAAGAGGGAAACACCCACGGGTCTCTACATTCAGAGTGGGGTGGGCCGGGGAAACCAAGGCAGGGGCTGCACGCCTTCCAAGACCCCCACCCCGAGTACTGGCCGTCTGGGGGGCTTCAGGTGGGAGTGGGCGGGCACCGTCCCCCTGGCCTGCTCTCACCTGGCCCCTGTTGGGACACTCCCTGGCCACACCCAACCCCCTGCAGGGGTCACCTGCCCCGGGCTGGAGAAGGTCCCGATGGCCGCCAGCCCTGCCTGCCAAGCAGCTGGCTCATGACTGGCCATGAGCCCCAGGGCAGCCAGAGCTGGGCCTCTCAGGGCCGCGTCCCGGCGTCCAGCTTCCCTGGGCCACAGGGCTCCAAAGAGAGAAGTTCCGCTGCTGCGGCCACGGTGCTGGCCTGCGCAACAGCAGGGCCGAATGCCCAGGGAGCAGGACGCAGCGTGTGTCCCAGGAACGGGGACAGACTGCCGCCACATCCCACAGCCACGGGCCAACACGGCCAACTGGAGCAACCCCGCGACCCCCACCCCTACCGAGAGCCCCTGCGCAGGAAGAGCCCCCTTCCCTCCCCAGGGACCCTCGGCGGGGTGGGTAGCGATTCCCCCGGACTCCATTCCCGGGGCCAGGGCTGAATGAGGTCACCCCAGAAGGGATTACCCCCAGTGGAAGCACGGAACTGACCTGGCTGACAGCCTCCCAGGGAGCTTTGGTGTGGGAAGGGGGGCGTCCCTGCCTCGCAGTCATAGCTGAGCTGGGGGTGCAGAGGGGCAGGCGGCCTCCAGGGCCCCTGGCCTCAAGCTGACAGCAGTGCAAGGTGGGGGCCGGCCTCCTCCCCGCTCTCCTATCCCCTCCCCAGAAGCCACCCTCGCTGGCTGACAGCTACCGGCCTGGAGCCTCTGCGCCCACTGCCTGGCAGACACAGCCCTGGCCTGGCCTCACCCACCACCCAGCACAGCCCGCGCCCCAGGGGACAGCGAGCTCGGCCAGAGAGGACAGAGCGGAGGAGGAGGGATTCTGGAGTGAGGCTGCCCTGAGAAGTGGCGGGACGTTCCTCCCCCAGACCACCACAGCCACGCCCACATGCAGAGTGGCCTGGGGGCAGGGATGGGGGGGTGCAGAGCAAACAGTGGGGGCTGTGAAGTCACCTGAGTGAGAAGGAACAAGAACCAGGGAGGAGGATCGGACCCTCCTGGGGCCAAGCCCGGCCTCTGCTGACCCTGCAAGCGAAGGGCGCTGGGAGGGCCCGGCAGGAGTGTGCGTGCGGGGCGGGCAGTGGGGGCTGCGGCAAGTTTCCTTGTGCTGTGCTTTGCCTCACATTCACCTAGTCAGGGTTACTCAGCGAGGTTTGCAAGGCCCATTGGACACGGCTGCTCACCTCGGTCACGCGGACACGTGGACACGGCTGCAGACACCACGGTCACGTGGACACATGGACACATCTGCAGACAGTCATGGTCACATGGACACGCGGACACATCTGCAGACAGCCATGGTCATGTGGACACGGCTGCAGATACCACGGTCACGTGGACACATAGATATGGATACAGATACCATGGTCACATAGACACGTCTGCAGACAGCCACAGCCACGCGGGCACGCGGACACGGCTGCAGACCCCACGGTCACAGGCACTGTGAACGCAGCCAGGGAGGGCAGTGTGTGCGCACCTGTGCAGTGGGCTGCGTGCTGGGCGCGTGCACGGCCGGTGGCGGGGGAAGGGGAGCGCTCAGAGGGGCCTGGCTGGCAGCTGCTCCCTGGGGGGCGGAGAAACCCTTCCTCCCGTCCTTCCCCTGCCCCAGCCCTGCGCTCAAGCCGGCCTCCAAGACCTCGGCTTTGGAGGGAAAGTTTGCAACAAAGACCCAGGCTAAAAAAAAAAAAAAAAAAAAAGGTGTAGGGGGGTCAACCCAAGAGGGGAGGGCTGCTCAAGGGAGGGGACCTGGGCCTTCCAGCTCCTCCAGCTTCTAGAACCAGCTGGTGCGCCTCTAGAGATGACAACGGAGCCGGGTGGCCGTCCCCCGTCCCCTCCTGTCCAGGAGACGGCACCGGAGACAGAGCGCTGCTGGCCTCCCCAGCCCTGGCCAGAGGCCTCCCTGTGCTCGGCCCCCACGGAGGAAGGCCAGGGTGGTGGAGGGCGCTGGCAACTTCACTCCTCCTTCTGCTTGGTATTTGTTTAAATAAAATAATGACCCCTCCCGGGACCCCTCCCCAGCTCTGGGAGTGCCCACCCCAAGCCCAGAAGCAAACAGTTTAAGAAGAGCAGACGTGGAGACTCAGAACTTCCCGCTGCGGTCTCGGAAGAAGCCCTCAGCCGCCTGGGCCTCTCGGAAGGTGACGGTGATGGAGTTGGCGGTGATGTCGGTCACGGTCACCTCACTCTGGGGGAGCGCGGGTGTCCAGGGAGGGGGCCCGTCGGCCGCGTCTGCATCTGTTGCAGCCAGGAGACAGAGACAGAGACACGGTGCCGACAATAAGGTGTGCAGGTGGGCACCGCGGCAGCAGGGCCACCCCCCACTCCCCTCCGTGTTTCCAGCCAGCTCAGGGCCAGGCCCCGAGCGTCCTCCGCAGCAGGACGAGAGACCGAGGGCAGGTGCTCAGCCTGAGTCGGCCTGACTGTGTCGGCAGCTATGCTGTGCTGGGAGCGCCGGTCCGCTCCGATGCCCACTTACCCTCCTCCTCGGGGGGCTGCTCTGTGGGCTCCCACTCGCCGGCCGCCTGCAGGGCGTCTGGGGGCGCTGACTCCTGCAGGAAGAGCTCCCGTCGATGGCTGTGGCTCTCCAGGCTGGGCCCGCGGGGCGGGAACTTCTTGCGCGAGAGCCGCAGGTACTTGTGGGCCTTGCGAGGCTTGCGGAGCGGGAAGGGCAGGGTGGGCACCAAGGGGCCCTTGTCCACCAGCTCGGGCGCCCCCGCCTTGACCACCCCCTCGGGGCTCCCGCTGCCGAGCGGGCGCGTCAGGGAGAAGCACAGCTTCTCCTTGCCCTTGGCCTTGTGGGAGCTCCGCAGGTCCATGCCGTACAGCCGCTGCAGGGGCAAGCCAGGGCACGGCGGGTCAGCCCCGCCTCCAACCCACCGCCACGGCTCGGCCCCCCCAGCACCCCCTCGCCAGCCCTCCCCTCGGGCCCGGCCGCGTCGCCGGGTGGGCCCGGGTGCGGTCTCATCTGCCCACGGCTGGGCACCCCCAGGCTGACCCCTTCGCTGCACAGCGTTACAGCACACAGGAGGCACAAACCAAAGACGGAGAGAAAGTCCGCGTTGGCGAAGCAACAGAGCAGGAGCTTCACCTTCAGTTTAAGGAAGGGCCCCCACTTCCCAAATGACCGCCAAAGCTGAAACGGGCCGGCTCGCTTGGGCAAGGCGGCGTGACGCGGGGCCCACGGCGTGGGCATCGCGACAGCTGCCGCAGGGACAGCTCTGCCAGCGGCCTGCACACGCGCCCGCGGCTCTGGCCCGCCTCGCCCCTGCTGATCCGATCTGGAAGGGACCTGCATGAATTCTAGACAGACCCCTGGTGGCAAGATGCTGGGAGATCCCGGTCACCCCCAGATGACCCCGTCACACCTGTCACCACAGACCCACACCCCCGGACCAGGCGCGGTGCCGGCAACACAGCGATGGGAGAAGTCTCAGGTGGAAGGGGTGGGAAAATCCCCCCGCCCCCAGCTCCGTCAAAGCCCACTCCTGCCTCTGCCACAGGCACCGAGAGCCCAGGGACTCCCCTTCCATTCCACAAGGCTCTCGTCACCACTGCCAGGGCCCCAGGAGCTCCCAGAGTCACATGGCGGGGTTCCTGCTGCTGGCCCCGGCTGCCCTGAGCCCTGGTTCCCTCTAGTGAAACAGTGTAGAGACCCAGTAGCTGGCTCCAGGGCGGTCCCCACGTGACTGCCCTGGATCCAGGCCCATGTGCGTGGGGTGTGACCTCGAGCCTCTCTCTCGGGCCACCCACTCTGGGAAGAGCGGCCATACGGTGAGGCTGTCCTAGCAGCCCTACGGGGAGGCCCCCGTGGTGAGGGACCGGCCACCCACAGCCAGGCAAGGCAGCAGCAACGCAGCACGGCCCCCAGGCTAGCAGAGGAGACACGCAATGGCCAGGAAGGCGCTCCCCGATTCGCTGCCTCAAGTTGCGGAGTGAGGGGTAACCCATCCGCCAGCGACAGTGACCGATGCACCTGCCCTGGAGGCGTTACTTCCTGTCCTCGGACCCAAGTCCCAGCAGGCCCACGGAGCACGGCGCGGGCAGAAGCTTGGATGCTCTACCACCGGGGTGGCCACACTGCACACGGTCCCCGTATCCACATCATTCGACTGTGAATCCCCAGGGGGCTCATTACATTAGGGAGTGTGGGTACTCCTACCTCCCCCATTGCAGTCAGAAGACCCCAACAGACAAGGCCAGAGGCTTGCCCAGAACCACAAACCCCCCACTGCTTCACTGCGAACCACTGAGGTCAGCACAGTGCCCCCAACAGCTGAGACGCAGGAACCCACCAGACAGCACTGGGGAGGCCCTACAGCCCTTCCTACTCAGAAACGACCATTCCTGGGAGCCAGATACTCCACGGCTGTGGTTCCAGGATTCTAAGGGTCCCGCATTCCCCTCACTTCGGAAGTTTGTAAGATCCCCAAATATTACAATTTTATGCTTGGGACTTTGGGCAAGAAGGCCTGTTTGCAGGATTTCTAAGCTTTCAAGCCCTCTGGGATTCTGTAGCCACATGTCCTCCCTCCCTGAGGGTTGGTCCATGCAGGGCGTCTTCCTGAGCCCCAGCCCCCCCTCCATGTGCGTCCCCTGCAGCGCCCTGGGAGGGGTGGGGTGGCGGGGCCTGTGGGCAGGGGGAGCAGGTGCAGGGCCGGCCGCGTTACCTGCAGCAGAAGCCGCTTGGGTTTCGGACCTCTCTTCCTATACCCCGACGCTCGGTCTCTCTCCTCCCTGGGGCGAGGCAGGCGGCAAGAGAAAAGGAGACGCTGGTGACGTCTAGGGGAAGGCGCGCCCCACCCCAGACCTCCCCACCTGCCTTGCAGAGCCCAGTCTTCCCATCTGGTAAACTGGCCACTGAGGCAGGACCCAGGGGCTGTTCCAGACAGGTTCCGCCCTAAGCCACTGCGACGGCCCCCAGCAGAGCCCCGACTCTGCTCTGAGGACAGCTGCGCACACACCTGCGCCTCACCTGCCCTGGATGCCAGGGACACTACCCAGCCTGCCCTCTCTGGGATCTGAAGGACCCTGGGGAGGACAGGCCCCTGTCTGTCTGTACCATCTGCTCGGGGAGGGGAGGGAAGGCTGCTTGGTGGACCTGTCACCCTGCCGGGTGCTGTCCTCGCACACACATACAGGCACCAGGGCACCAGCAGAGGATGCTTACCGTAGGGCCACACACACTGCACACCAGGCAGCACAACCAGAGGCTCCAAAGAACAGTGCCAAAGGTGTGTGTGCATGTGTGTGCACGTGTGTGCACATGTGTGCATTGTGCGTACACTGTGTGTGCACTGTGCGTACACTGTGTATATACAAGTGTGTGCACTGTGCGTGCATACAAGTGTGTGCGTGCACGTGTGTACATGTGTGTGCACTGTGCATACACTGTGTATATACATGTGTGTGCACTGTGCACGCATACAAGTGTGTGTGTGCATGTGTGTATACATGTGTGTGCGCTGTGCATGCATACAAGTGTGTGCGTGCACGTGTGTACATGTGTGTGCACTGTGCATGCATACAAGAGTGTGCGTGCATTATGTATACATGTGTGTGCACTGTGCACGCATACAAGTGTGTGTGTGCACGTGTGTGTATACATGTGTGTGCATTGTGTGTACACTGTGTATGTGTGTATGCATTTGTGTGTACTGTGTATATACATGTATGTGCACTGTGTGTACACTGTGTATGTGTGTATACATGTGTGTGCACTGTGCGTGCACGTGTGTGTGTGCGCACGTGTGTGCAGAACCCAGCAGCATTTCCCTCTGCCTCCTGTCTCACTTCGTCCCATCTGCTTTCTGTAGCCCCCACTTCAGAGGCCACCAGGAAGCAGGAGTTGGGCAGCCGCAGCCCCACCTCTCAGGAACCCCACGTGTCCAGCTGGGATGCCTGAGGGGTTCTTGGTGACAATGGCCACACCTGCTAGCCGCCACCTGAGGCCAGACGGAGGGCTCTACTCTGGGCCCTGGAGAGCTGCCCACTGCCCCCCTCGCCACATTCCAAGCCCCCCCTCCATGACCCTGGTGACCAAAGCCCCGCCAAGCACCCAAGGAAGCAGAGGGAAGCTGTTAGACACGGACACTCTGACTTTCAAAGAGGGACAACGAAAACTTGGCTTCAAGTCAGCAGCAGGCAGCCTCCTGGGGAGAAGCCCAAGAGCGCAGTGGCGACCTGGAGGGAGCCCAGGGAGCCCCATCATGCCACTGGCCAGCGGAGCTCCTGGACGGGCCCGAGCTCCTCAGAGCTGTGTCCCCACCTGTCCAGTGACACCTTCATCCCTGTCTCAGGAGGCGGCTGCGCCAGGCCAAGTGGAAAATCCGTTTTGCGTAAAGGTATGGGACAGCCTCAGGCTGTCTGAGGGCGCAGGGGAAGGGTGTGGTCAGCTGATGCAGACACCGAGGCTCCCAAGGCCACACTCCCTCTCGGCCTCGCTGGGCCTCCCCAGCCTGCTCCTGGCGAGACTCTGCCACCAGACCATCACTGACCTGGCCACCTGCACACAGGGCACCTCTGGGAGGCAGCACCAGGGCCACGCTACAGCCCACACCTCCCAGCAACAGGAGAGGGCGCAGGGCCTCGCTGGCCCGGGGCTCAGCACCCACCACTTGCCTGGTCAGACGCCTCCAGCCCCACCCCCCCCGTTGGACCTCTGCCCAGGGCAAGCCAGCGGCGGGCTCCGGCTCCCCAGGACACCTCAGGTCCAGTGAGGCCGGCCCGCTGCAGTGGGAACCCCTTACTTCTCTTCGTAGGCCATGACGAGACGGGGGTCCAGGATGTGCTCCTCCGGCTCCCACGTGCTGTACCTGGGGACAGGAACAAGAGGTCAGCACTGGCCGGCCTCCACCTGGCTTTGCAAAGGCCACCCCTGGCAAGCCTGGGCCTCTTCCTGATAAGGTGACTGCGGCCTGCTCAAAGGGCTGGGCCCACGCCTGGTCTCCTGTGGGCTCCAGGGACACCAAACTCTCCTCACTCCATCCCATTCTAACCCACTAGCCCTCACATTCGCCCGAGACCCTCGGTGCCTGGGAGAGGACGGGCCTGCGAGGTTGCCCCTCGACAGCCGGGCAACCTCGAGCACTGACCCATGGCTCAGGGGCTCAGCGTCCCACCTGCGAGGGATTCTGCCGGCTGACTGCATGGAGGTATGAGGGCAGAGCCCAGGGGGCTCGCGCCGCTGCTGCCCCCCACCCCTGCCAGCCCAGCCCCTCCCCTCCTCAGCACAGGCGTGTCTGTGCCATCCCAGCCAGGTCTCAAGGCCCCTTGCCTCGGGGCCTGGCACACAGCGGGGATCTGGTAAATTCTGGTGACCCAGTGGTTCCGTGCCCCTGGGGCAGGCCCCCGCTACCTCCACGGCCATCTCCCACCACCTCCAGACCAGACAGCGGCCCCACAGCTCAGCCTCTAGGGTGCCACCCTGTGACACCTGCTGCGGCCCGGCCCTGCCCCTGCACTTGTGTCCTTAGTACCTGCCTTCACAGCACGTCACCATGTTTTGCTCAAACCATTTTTAAAAGATAGATTTACTTGAAAGGCAGAGTTACAGGGAGGAAAAGACAGAGCGAGAGAATCTTCCACCCACTGATTCACTCCCCAGGTGGCTGCAATGGCCAGGCCTAGGCCAGGCTGAAGCCGGGAGCCAGGAGGTTCATCCAAGTTTCCCACGTGGGTGGCAGGGGCCCAAGTTCTTGGGCCACCTTCCGCAGCTTCTTCCAAGGCATTAGCAGGAAGCCCGCTCAGGAGCGGAGCAGCAGGGACACGAACTGACGCCCGTGTGGGACGCTGGCATCACAGGCAATGGCTTTACCTCTTTTGCCACAGCGCCAGCCCATCACATTATTTTATTTTTAAAAGCAAACTTTATGACTTCCATAAATGAAGAAAATCCAGTATCATACGCCATAAAGATACAACCATAAAAGACTTTTCAATTGAACACACATATGTTCCATTCCTGGCTCGGTTCCAGCTTCCTGCCCACACAGGCCCTGGGAGGCAGCTCTAGTTCCTGGCCCCCAGCGTTGGCCCTGGCCCAGTCCTGGCCACTGCAGGCATTTGGGGAAGGAGGCAGGGAATGGGGGCTTGCTCTCTCCCTTGTCTAATGTTTAAAAAGCATACGCAGTACATGCATACACACGTGTGAGAGTAGGATCTGCACTTTATGATCCTAACCAGAGCTGCGCTGGATAAAATGGAGATGGGAGGTAGGGCACAGAGGCCAGGTAGAACACTTGCCCTGTTGTCTCCCAGTCAACTCAACTCAAACCTTGATCTTGGGACCAGTGCTGCGGCATTGCAGGCAAAGCTGTTGCCAGGGACACCAGCATCCTATATGGGCGCCGGTTCGAGTCCCGGCTGCTTCACTTCCGGTCCAGCTCCTCGTGACTGTGCCTGGAAATGCAGCAGATGACCCAGCTCCCCGGGCCCCGCATCCATGTGGGATGCAGACGCTCCTGGCTCCTGGCTTTGGCCATTGCAGCCATCTGGGGAATGAACCCGCAGATGGAAGCTCTCTCTCTCAACTCCTTCAATAAGTCAAGAAATCTTTGAAACAAAAAAGAAATCTTGATGCTAAGCTGTGCGGGAACACTGTCAAACACCAGCGGCGCTCAGCAGCAAGGCCTGCTCTGCCGTCTGCCCGAGCTGCGCTCTCCTCCTGGGCACCCTGCCCCTCCGGGGAGCGCCTGGAGAGCCAGGTCCTCAGCGCCCCTGCCCACCCCCACCCGCCTCCTGCAACCACAGGGAAACCGGGTGCTCTGGAACCGGGTGAGGCCGCACTCAGGCCGCCGCCTCGGGGTCTCCCCGGGGTCGGGGCTCAGGCAGGCGGGGGCGCGGGTGTGCCCCTCTCCAGCCGCCGCCCGACCCCGCGGCCCGCGCACCCTGCCCACTCACGGCCGAGGGGCCGCCTCTGACCCCCGGCGAGCTGCTATCCTCCTCTAATCCCCCATTTCTTAAAAAACCCGCCGCAGCCACAGTACCAGCAGGTGCGAGAGCTACAGCAAGACCCCGCCCCTCCCCGACGGTCGGAGGCGAGATCTGAGGTTTCAGCCCGCGGTGCACAGGTGAGGCACCTGGTTTGCCACGGTCACTGGGCCAGCAAGCGGCAGGGCCGCGGCTACACCTGGGGCAGCCGCGGTCGCAGGGAACCGGGCCGCACCTGGCGGCCGGGGGCGGGGAACAGACGGCGGGCAGGCACCAGCGCCCCAGCATCCCGCCCCTCGCCCGGGACCCTCGGCGAGCCGGCGGGGCGGAGAGCGGGCGCGTAGTGGGAGGGGCCAGAGGCGGCTCCGGTTCCACCCCCCGGCCGCGCGCACGCACGAACGCACGGGAAGGGCGCGCGCCTCGATTACCGGGCCAACCAAAGGGGGCGGGGACAAAGGCGCCGGCTCGGAGATAAACACGGCCACGTGACCGCCGCGCCCCGCCCCCAAGCCGGGTAAACAAGCCCGATCGGACTGGGGCTCGGGGCGCGTCGGGGAGCGGGTAACCGTGTGTCCGGCCAAGGCCGGGCTCTCCCCGGGGAGGCGAGCGCGGGGCACTGCCGAGGTGTGACGCAGGCGCCGCGGGGCGGGTGCGGCCACCCTAGCGACCCTGCAGAGCCAGGCCTCCCCCAGACCCCCAGAGCACTGCGACCGCTGGGGGCTGGGGGCGTCGCCTCGGGCTGTGGTGAGGACTGGAAGGGCTGACCCGAAGGCGCCCAGAGCCGGGGCTGCACCGTGGGCAACGCAGCACACGCGAACGAGCGCCAGTCGGGTCCACGGGAAGCCGGGCCCACCCCGCTGCCGCCGTCCGACCCCCGCCTTGGCAGAGAAACCCCTGCTGAGGCTCTCCCCTCGTCTAAGGCAGTCTTCTGCCGGACCCTGCGGGCCTAGCGCCACGATGGGGAAATGGAGGCACAGGGCGGCTGAGGGCTTGGCCCGCGGCACACAGCTGACCGATCAACCACAATTCAAAGACAGGCCAGTCTCAGGCGGAGCACTTCCCACCGAAATGGCCAAAAGGCCGACAGACAGGCTCCTTCCCGGTCACCTGGTCCCTGTGTCCCAGGGAGCAGGCCCCCGAGCCGGCCGGGCAGCCTGCGCTGTGCGCCCTGGACAGGCTCTGCTCTGCATCTGTAAAATGCATTGCCGTGGGCAATCAAATGGGCCAAGACTTGGCTGGTAACGGGCGCACTGACTGGCAGCCTGGCTCCTGCTGGGCCCCTGACGCCATCCATCGCTAGGCTTTCCCAAGTGGGAGAGAGGCAGGCATCCCCACAGGGGCAGCGGCAGGGTCCTGGGCAGGCACGCGGGGATCTCGGGTGCAGGCAGCTCCCGTGGCTGGCAATTACCACCCCCCGCGGGTGGGGGGGGGCAGGGAGGCTCCCAGCCCCCCAGTCGCCCCCCCCCACCGCGCGTGCCACCTGCTCTGGAGGGAGGGCCGCCCTGGAGTGTGGGTGCAGGAAACTTGAGGGGCCTGAAGTCCCCGCCACCTGAGGGTGGCTGCTGAGGGGACGACCTGAGTCGCCCACCCCCACCCCGCAGACTGGCACTGCCCAGCCCGCGCGCCCAGGCCGGGCAGAGGCTGCCCCCGCTGCCCGCTCCTGGCCTCTCCGTCTCTTCCCCAGCAAGGCCGCCTGCCGAGGGGAGGCTGAAGACAGAGCTGGGCACAGCGGGCCCTGCTTCTCCTGCCTTCCCCAGGCTGAACCTCTGGGTCCCCGCGCGTGAGGTGGGAGTGGCTGGCAGCGGCCCTGTCTCCCACGGGTGGCACGTGGTCAGCGTGAAGCGGGTACCACGTGGCATGCGGCCGCCCGGGGCCCCAGCTTCCCCGTCTGCAGAATGACACGGCTGCGTGGGTCATACCTGAGGCTGCCCGGAGCCGCCGTGGAGGGCGGCATGCCCTGTGCCCCCTTCCTGCCGCAGGCACGGGCCCGACACCCAGAGGCCGCTGCACCCCTCCCCATGCTCCCCAGCGGGGGCGGAGCCAGCACCAATCACGGCCCACCATCTGAGCGTCCCAACCCCCCTGTGCCGGAGGGAGGTGTCCCAGGTCACCTGGTCCAACTCTCCAAGAGCAAAGACAGGCGCGGGGCGGGACATGGCTGTCTCATATAAGGCACCTGCGTTCCACGCCAGCCCTGCTCCTGGCCCGGCTTCCTGCTGACGCAGACCCTGAGCCACAGGGGTGGAGGCTCAAGTACCCGGGTTCCCGCCACCCACGTGGAGACCTGGACTGGGTTCCTGGCTCCTGGCTTCTGCCCCAGCCAGGGGCTAGGACAGGCATGCGGGGAGTGACAGCAGGTAGGAGCTCCTAGCTCCATTTCTCTCTGCCTCTAAATAAATAAAATATACATATATATGTTTTATTTACTTTTATTTACTTGAAAGGCAGTGACAAAGTGAGAGAAAGAACTTTCCATCTTGCTGGTACCCTCCGCAAGCAGCAACAGCCAGGGCTGGGCCAGGCTGCAGCCAGGAGCCCAGAACCCCAGCGGGTCTCCCACGTGGGTGGCGGGGACACGGGTGCTTGCACTGTCACCTGCTGCCTCCCAGGGTGCACTGGCAGGAAGCTGGGTCAGAAGTGAAGGCGCCGGGACTTGAACCAGGCTTTCCCACGTGGGATGCAGGTGTCGCAGGAGGCCAGCTAACCGCTGCGCCCCTCACTCACACCGCCTGTTTCCAAGGGCAGGCTTGAGGCCCCTTCTGGTGGTCTCTGCCTAGGGAGCCGGTGGACCCAAGGCCGGCACAAGCCAAGGAAAGCCGTGCAGGCCCGGTGCTGGCACGCCCCCCGCCCCCCTTCCCCCCAGCCGGCTGAAGCTCTGATCGGCAGCAACGCGGCAGAAACAACTTTGTGCTGCTGAGGGCCTCTGCTGGAGAACCAAACCTTTCACAAGATGGGCCACAGAGAGGCGGACCGGCAGAGCCAAGGCCGGTCCCCGGAGCCCTGGTGCCTTCTGCTGCCTTAGCCGCGAGGGGCGGCGGCGCCCGGAGTCAGGGCCTCTGCCTCCCCCGGCTCCCCTGACCGCACCTGCACCCAGGCCAGAGCTCGCCTCTGCTCGCCCTGGAGGAGGGCGTCGGGGGAAACAAGCCCGTCTCCACCAGGGCCACTGCGCCCTGCGCCTGTCCTCTTGGGAGCAGGGCCTGGACTGCTGAGCCCATTTCACAGAGGAAAGCTGAGGCAGTAGGGGCTGTCCTAATACCAGCTCAGCGACACCGGCTCCGCGGCCTCAGCAGAAAACCACCGGCACCCGCAGCACAGCCCTGTACAGAGGGGGTTTCCAGCGGTCGGTCTCCAGGGGGTGGGGCATCTGTAGGCCAATGGGGAGGCCCCACGCGGGCTCGTTCCCTCTCCAACCTGCTGCTGGGACCTGACTGGTTCGTGGGAAGATTCCTAGCTGGGCCTGGGGCAAGAGAGATGGAGCCAGTGGGAGAGGGGTGAGACCCAGCCCCCAGCCTCTGCGGCAGAGATGGGGGGGTTATGGAGGCACACAGAGGGCCTCGAAGTGGGAAGCCCTAGTTCAAGTCCCCGCTCTGCTGCACTTGCTGTGTGACCCAAGGCAAGCTGCTTGCCCTCTCTGAGCCGTCAGGATCACAGCTCCCTCAGAGGCTGGCTGGGAACCCACTCTCTGGACTCCAAGTGCCTCCTAAAGCAGGCGCACTCGGCCGTGCGGCTCTGCGGACTCACCCAGCGCTGCGCCGGCCCCGAAGCCAAGGTGCTGGCCCTTGGCTTCCCCCTGCCAGCACAGGGCGGAGGCAACACTGGGCGGCAAAGGAAGGGGGCAGCTGGTGGCCCCTGGGCGCTCCTTGCCGGGCAGGGGGACCACTGAGACCCAGAGAAGAGGGTGACAAAGCGCGGTCAGCTGCCCCCTACGGAGCAGCGACGGGCAGGCGGACAGACGGACAGACGGACAGACACCAAGGAGCCTTACTTTGGGGGCCATCCTTTCCACTTCACCAGATACTCGACTTTGCCCTGGGAAGAGAAACAGACACGGTGAGACGCGCACTCGTCCCGCACCACTCGAGGGCCGGTAAAAGCCCTCTGGAGAGAGACAGGGGTCCCCAGTCCCAGACACCCCCGCCCCCCACCCTGTGCGACCACCCTCCCTGCTGCAGCGTGGGACCCGCGCCGGCCCCAGACGTCCCCTCCTGTGCAGACGGCGCCCAGGTGCGAGCAGGCACCCATGGCCCAAGACCCGGGTCCAGAGTCCCAGTGGGAGACCCTGGCTCCTCCCCCCCCCAGACCCTGGAGGAGCCTCCAGGCGTGCGCCCTGCGGCCGGTTCTCTGGGGAGGCTCCCTTAGAATTCCCACCTGCAGGCACCCCATCCCGACACCCCCACCTCAGGAGTCAGAGCCAGGCCCCGTTTCCCTCACCAGAGCTAGGGGCCCTGAAGTCTGTCCACAGGACTTGACCAAGACGCGGCCCCTCCTCCCAGAGGTCCGTCCCGGCCACATTCTGACACTGTCCCCCCAGACCAGCCAACACGGACCCCATTAGTGGCACGGCCACTGGAACAGGGAGAGGTGGCATCCCTGGTGCTCCCCGTGCTCTCTGGGGCCGGGAGGCTCCCAAGTTCGGAGCACCACCCCTGCCCAGCGCGGGTAATCCCAGTACCTGCTCCCGCTGCCCTGCAAGGAATAATCCTTTCACAGCGGGGCGGGGGGAGTAAGCTCAGGACCCGCGGGATGCCAGAGCTGAGGGTGGTGGGCTGGCAGTCAACGGAGCCCAGCCCCCCAACCCTCTAGGCCGGGCTGCTGACCTTGAGCCGGTCCCGTTCCCGCCCCCCAGCCTGCCCCCTGCGGGGAGCTGCAGAGGGGAGCGGAGGCAGCACCACCTGGTGCGCGCCAGGAAGGCAACTCTGCCCCAGGACCTCCCCCAGCCCGGCTCCCGCGTGGGGCGAGCCCCCTCCGCCGGCACGTGCGGGCCGCCGCGGCCCGGCCCCGAGGCGCGGACCAGCGCGGCTCCACCGTCCAGGCGCAGGCCGGAGGGAGCGGCTCCGAGGATGCCCGGGGGTGGGAGTGGGAGGGAGGCGGGGAGAGGGGTGTGCGCCGGGGCAGGGACGGCGGAGGGCGAAGTCCAGCGTTGGCGCAGGCTTCTCCCGAGCTCCGCCTCCAACTTGAGGGGCTTGGCGCCCAGCGCCCCGAGTTCGAGACCCCGCTCGCACGCCAGCGCGCGGGGCGAGGCGAGGCGGCCCCTCAACGGGGCCTCAGTCGCCCCGAGTCCGGAACGAAGGTGGGAGGCGGCGGACAGCACTCGGGACCCCTCGGCCCCTGCCCAGCCTCGGCTCCGGCCGGCTCCGCGGCCCCCAGCACGCCGCGCCGGGAACTTTCACTTCTCTTCGCGGCGGGGAAACTGAGGCACGGGCTGCGGGGCGCGTGGGGGGAGGGGCCGGGCCTAGCAGC